ATGCATTGACAATTGCACTTAGCAAATGGTCACCACTTTGTCAGTTTGGTGACGTACTAGTAGGTAGTTCAGTGGTCACTTTCTCAGGATTACATTCACATAGCAGGGATTGTGATTAAGACACAAATCTTTAAGTAGACAGAACCCTTTTACACACACGCCTATATATGAGCGCAGCATTGCATACATATACACATGCCCTTCAGTGAATTTTAGGGTCAACGGTCAGTTTCACTGAATGATGGATGAACTGTTGGCTGTTCCGATTGAACAACAACTGAAAAAAAGGACATTTGCGAAATGATCTTTCGGGACTTTATGGCAAATGCCTGTTGATGTGTAGTTATTAAAATGCATTTGTTTGTTCTTTAATTAATTAATTAATTTGTTTAATTATTTATTTATTTCTTTCCTTAAAATGCTAATACTATCATTTCTATATAGAAATCTAGCACCTAGTGACATCTGGTGATCTGTTTTTCCAAGATGGCCTCCAAAAGCATACCTGGACATATTAAATGGTCTAATGCGATATCAGTATTTCACAAAGGATTTACTTGCATATTGTAAAATAATGTTGGAAGGACCATCCAATCCATTATGCTGATCCAATATGACATATACACTGACAATTTTTTATATTGACATATTTGTTCATTTTGGTAATGGAAGCATTCAACGTGTCAAGGTTGCTTGAAATGAAGGTACGATCAAATCCGTTTTGAAGTAAACTTTCCGTCAATCTGTTCGTCTTGAATGACACCAAATACCATTTATTACCATTATGGGCCTCAATACTTCATCACTAATGTCAGTGTTGTTCTAACTATAAACTACATATAAACATTTTGTCGTTATTTATTTATTTATTTATTTATTTATTTATTTTGGAGGGGGGTCAGAATTGGTTATGACTGGGTTCATTGGTAAAATGAATCTGTCCCTCCCACTAAACTGTAGTCTTCGTACTTGTCACGAAAGCATCTGACAATTTTGACGAAAACGTCAGTTTTCTCACGTATTTTCATTTTTTGTGTATGTTTTGTTATATTTTGTTAGACACAGGTGTTTTGAGGTCTAGACAGTCTGTACCTGCGTGTGTGTAATGGTGTGTTTTGGTAATTTGTTAGAAACGGGAAGTCAAGGCTGTGCGTGTGCTATTTTTGATAATTAGCGAAAAAAAGAGGGTTTGGAGCCAAGACTTCATTACACAAATGCGATTTTTGTATGTAAAATTAGATGACAGTAACAAATGACGTGCTCTCAAACCATTGCAATAAAGTAACTGCTGATAAATCACGCAACTCTTGAAGTTACATAACAGGGGGCCCTTGCGTCTGATTCCTAGATATCAAATGATAGTGTTGTCGGCCGGTACAAGTTAATATGAAGGAACTTACCAAAACTTTTTCAAATTTACCACAAAAATGGTACCAAACCATTCAGTAATTACTTTTTGGCAGTTTCAGTGTTTGGCTATTATTCACTGACTGAAAGTTAAGTTTCTTTGCAAAATTCGCATGAATAATTTGCTGTTATTATTTTGATAGATGAATATCGTCAAAAAATTCCACTTGGTTTGGAGATCTTCGGAGTGCTTTATTGGATTAACGAAATACCAGTTGCAGTTCTCTTCAACACTTCAAGACTGCATGTAATTTTGTTGCCAGCGTTCTTCGCCATATTAAGTGCCCTTCAAATCCCAGACAAAATCTTTCAAAGTTTCATTGGCATCTGTAGATGAATAAGGCGTCATTGATCATCTGTCCAAAGTTCTTGGAAACTAATGAGCATCGTGGCATTTGTATCAACATGTCACTTAACATGACCATGCATATGGTTTGTGTTAAGAAGAGAGTCACCATAACCTACTTCTTACAAAATCTGTTAACCCAGTAAAACCACATAATTATGTTTTTCAGCACACACACATTATGTATACTTAATGTCTATATGGTCAACGTCGGGCATTAATAAATGGAGGAGGGCGTCGGCCAAACATTGGACCAACATTAAACCATGTTTTATAAATATTAGTGTATTGATCTACCCTTCCAGTTGACGGCCCACGGAAACACGGCTTCACCTCCTATTCCCTTTCCTAAACAAAACAAAATGGCGAAACCAGTCATACTCCTTCATATCTTCTTCCCCCTCCCCCCCCTCCCAAAAAAAAGGGGGGGGTGGAAAAACACTAATTCAGGCCAATAGAAATCGGCCTCATATACGATTTGCAAATTGCCTCAATTTGCACTAGTTTTGTTTTTACACAATCCTTCATCAAAATACTTGGGAGGACATTCTTATGCCAATTGCAAGAAAATGGCGGAGGTAGGAGTGGGTTTGTGAGAGGGGGGGGGGCTGGGGAGGGAAGATCTACAGTAAGCACAAGAAGCTAAATTTTTGAAAAGTGCTGAAAAATTACGCATATTGCAAGGTATTTTCAAATGTAGCATGCCGCCATATTTGAAAGCGAGTTGGCTACCACGAGCGGCTGATTAATCACGCAAGTTAACCAAGCGCTGGTTATTCAGAAAAATGCGGTTGACAAGACGAATCACTGGTATAAGATCATGTACACACGATTTTTTTTTTTTTTTTGGAAGGGGGTTAGTTTTTCCCTTTAAGCACCTGGTTACGCTACTAGTTTATGTATATCCCGTCGACAAATTGCGATCTATAAACATGTTTTTGAGTCACAAGTTTACGAAACCTATCATGCATCTTTATGAAAACAAAATGTTGCAATGTGCATGTAGGAGTTGGTGAAAAGTGAAGTAACACGTTATTCTACATGAGACTTAAACTACAATTCTCAGAAATACTTTTCCTTTTTTTCTTCTTACCATATCCTTGTAAGAGATCGCTAAATAATTTAATGAGATATATTGTTATAAAACACAGGAAGGAATGTTCGTACCAACGATTTTAATTTAAGAATGACACTTCACCAGTTCTCTCCCTGGTTAACAACAGGATGTTCAAAAATGTTTAAAGACAGAATCTAGTTATATAAGTCAGAGAAGAATTTCATCAGCTGTGTTAAGTTAAAAGAATGATATGATTTTTTCTTCAGTCAACAGCTAATATTGAGATTGAGTTTTTACCTCCAATATTTCGATGTCTATCAGGACATTTTCTTCAGGGAAATATTGGAGGTAAAAACTATCTCAATATCAGCTGTTGACTGAAGAAAATAATCACATCATTCTTAGAATCTAGTGATGTTGTCACTATAAAAGTGTACTCCACCAATTCCACTATTTCCTCTTGTCACGCACACAAACACACACTCGCGCGCGCGCGCAAGTTGGTCTTGCCTTACCAAAAAATTGAAACATGTTGAAACAGATTGTCATTTAGATTTAGAAATCAAGCGTTGCCCATTGTTTTATTTTATCTAATTATCACTTTACACTATATTCAAATCCATTAACAACTTACGATCTATAAATATTTTTAGTCATAAGATTCAGCGATTTAGGCTCTTGATGAAAACAAACTGATGTCACATACACGTATATAAAAAGTATATAAAATGGGACACCTTGCCACTTTTTTTTGCACCAGGTTCTTGTTGGAGATCGTTAGATCCTTTGATGAGGTAATCTACAAAACTACACGGGAATGTTTGTGCCAATGGAAAGACATCGTTTGATTTGGCCATCGTTATGTGGCCCATAGATATGATTTATGCGATCACTCACTTATGCCATATCCAAACCCGTTGACAAATTAACGACCTATAATCATTTTAAATCAGATTAACAAATCTGTACATCTTACTTTTAAAAAGCCACATATATGTATATCAAAAGTGTAACAAGTGTTGTCACACGAGACGTTACGTGTGACTGCATTTCTTAGAATCAGTGAGACACTTTGCCACTTTTTTCTATGCATCAGGTTCTTGTCAGAGATTGTTAGATCCTATGGTACGAGATAATCTACAAAATAACACGGACATGTTCGTGCCAGCGGAAAGACATTGGCTGATTTGTTTTTAAAAATAACAGTCCACCCAATTCCTCTTTTGGTTAGTAATAGGATGTTATGGTATGTTTTAAGACAGAATATACTAGGGATAATTTCTTCACTACAGAGGTTTACTACGTGAATGCTAGTATTCCGTCGAGCTGTACACACAATCAAATACGCACATAGAGGTTATAGTCAAACGTATTTGTAGGTCAAAAATATCAATGAATACGAATCATAACGATGTCATATAGTATTGCGCCGTAATTACTTCAATCATAGGGTAATTTCCCACATCTCGATCGCATTATCTCGCATATTTCTAGTCTTGTGTGGCGCCACACATGGCTTTATAGCCTGCCCTCTACCAGGCTCGTGACCACAGATTGATTTTTCACTAAATATTAACAGAGGTGTCTCTGGCTAATTCATGGTACATATATCCAATGTGGCGCGTTAGAGAAAAGTTCCCATAATTAATCTGTGGCCCTGGTAGAGGGTAGTTATAGCCTCGGTGCTGGCTAACTCGGATATCCTTCACTACTTCCTGAAGTGGAACAAATTCCCTGATTCAAGTCGTTCAAAGGTGTGTCAATTCTTTGTTGTAATGTTTGAATCACAGGATAGTGGTTCAAAAGAAAGAATTATAGAAAAGTCAGCTAGAAAGGCGGCTGGTTCATGTACATTTTATTCTCAACCTGAGGATTTGCATAACAATGTTTTGTTTTGTCTGCTGTTTTCAAATGAAAAAATAGGGGATCTAGAAAGAATAATCAAAGAAGCATATGAATTAAGGAGTTACCAGATTTACCAATGATAGCATATTTATTTAAATTGTATTGTACATAACAATACAATTTAAATATTACAACAAAGAATTGACACACCATTGCTGCCTGAAACGTTCACAGCTATTATGAAATTAACTATCACTGTCACATGAACCAAATATCAGCAGCATCATTTACCTAAATTCGCCATTTTTGAAAATAAAAGACAAATTAGTCAAATGCAGTGGGATCATTTATTCCAATACAATTTGGTATAATTTGTATAAAAAGTGGTTAAACATATAACTATTTTCAATCGTTTTAAAAATGGGTATCACAGTTGTTTGGCATATTATGCACACGTTTTTGTAATGATAATAATAATAATTCTTGGCAACAATCCAAAATCTCTGACTTCCGTGTGATAAACTAAAGCTTGTTCTGTTCACACTTAGAATATTTCAAGTCAAAAATCGGTCTCAATTGCCTGATTAGACGCCCAGATTTCAAAGGGATTCCTATTTACCTCAGCAATTTTGGCCTTCTAATGTTCATTCGATAGCCTTGGTGGACCCAAGGACAGCTTCACAAAGTGAGTTCAATCAAAAATCGTTCTACGTTCAGACTGCTAAATACTGCTCTCAGACGACCAGGTTGCGTTTCACAAAGCATCAAGAAGGCTGCTCGCCCACTTATTTTTGTCTCTGAATGACTTTATTTCTCTCACTGATGACTATTGCTCATTTAGGTACGTATACTTCATTTATCGTGGTTTAAGTTTTTTCTGTTTTCTCATCCAGCAGTTTATGTCTAGTAGTCGGCTGTCTGACATCAGCAAGTTTAACTACGACCAAAAACTTTGTGAAACATTTTCTCATTTTGTGAAATAAAACGCCTGTCTTTAGTTAATACCTGTAACCGCCTTAATTTCGTAACCTGGTGGACATATATTACACACCAAATATTATACTTTTATTATAGAATTCCGCACGAAGTGGCCTTTTTCGCCGCATTTCTCCATTTGGCCTGAATGTTTTTACTCCTCATGTTCTTCTCCAGAATATCTGCCACCTTCAGGTACTCAAATTCAATAGCGATGTCGTATGGCATTTTGCCGTCCTAAAAGGAAAACAGATTTATCTTTACTGATCGACATTTATTGGTTTCTAATGCTAAAATAACACACTCCTAACAGTGGTCTGTTTATTACTATCATTACTCTCAAAGGAGATGGATGTTTGTATTGACATTACGCGTTCCCAAATAACAGGACAAAGTCAACATTTCAATCAGCCGGATATAATGCGTGACGGCTGTGGACAACCTCAAATCAATTCAAAATATTTGAAATTTAAAGACTGTCGAGGAGTCAAATACTGCGAAAAGTTGAAAAAAAGAAAGAAAAGGAAGCGATCGTACCAAATTCTTCAAACTGGAATCAGCTCCCAGTTCCAATAGCTTTTCAACAACATCTGGTAGGTCGTTGAAGGCTGCTAGATGCAAGGCTGTGTCCCCCTCCTGAAATAATATATTTCGAGTTACAACTATATCAAATACTATCTAACAACGTAAGGTGCCAGCAAGGATTAAAAGGTGCCAGCAAGGTAGCAAAAGTGCTCCTTTTGGGACGATACATTCACTGATATTCTTAAAGTTTTTTTCTTAGCCCTCACTCTCTCTCTCTCTCTCTCTCTCTCTCTCTCTCTCTCTCTCTCTGTATAATAGTGCGATACCTTTCTCTCGTAACGTAAACATTTGTATTGTAATGCATACTACCACACACACACACACACACACACACACACAAAGACAGACATACACACAGACAAAAAGACATGCCTTCTCTGTCTTGCTATTAACGGGGGCACCATTGTTCACCAGCCATTCTATCCGCCCAGGTCTGTCGTCTGCAAACTCGGGTGAGATAATGGCTTCGAGGATCTGATCAAGGCCGTACTACAAAATGAAAACAAAATACTTTGGAGGGATTTTCATTGGAGTGCTGGATTTCTAAAATGTTCAGTTCTGACACTGCTTCATATTCAAACCTCTTCCAAATAGCTTTATTCTCAATGTTCCAAACACAGGCAAAGGTTTCTGAGACACTTTCACCATGGCAGACATACATGTACATGTATAACTGTAATCGTAACAAGCCCAAGAGAAATGGTATATTTTTATTGTTTCTAATGTTAATGATGATGCTATCTTAAATCAATAACATACATCGATGTTGAATGCAATTCCAATTCCGTTTCACTGGGGATTGTCAAATACATTGCGACGGCGGTTCCATCTCAGTTGTTCAAATTTCTCCAATACAAAAAGTGGGAGAAAGGAATTTCTCATGCACATAATAATACTCAATTTGACCTATAGATAAACCTGTAAATTTTTTAACACTTCTACATCACCATCTAAATGGACTTACACTCTCGGCTTCTTCAGCAGTACTTTCAGTCGGTTCGTCAACCTCTGTAACCGGCTCCTAGAAAACGATACACACCATAAATTAATACTAAAGATGTATATAATGTGAGTCATACAGTTCTTTAAAAAAACTAATAAAAGATAAAAATGCAACACTTACAAATATGATATTTTGTGGAGAAAAGATAGAGAAATGACTGTTCTTTTTTTCGTCCTATCTAATGTTGTGCATTGTCTTTTTATTGGTGTGGTTTATTCTCTGAAGAATGAACAGATGTGCAGCTTTTTCCATCATGACCTTGAAACAGTCCATATAGTTGATTGATTTTAAGAGTCCTGTCTTATATGCTTAATGTACAATAAATAAATAAATAAATAAATAAGACAGATTATGTTTGCTTGAACGCCACATGCAAGAAGCAATTCAGTACAAAACATTAACATCTTAAGTCTTTTGAGACTTAATAAATAACAGTGAATATAAAATCAATTTAAAAGGCACTTACTTTATCTTCCTTTAATTTAAGTCCCTTATTGATAAAACATATTAATCTTTGAGACCTAACCAACTATAAAGAAATGCATTCCGCTTGAGACCAATAAAAGCTTTGGCCATGAACTTTTTCCAGAGGGATCTACTTGAAAGATATTGCCTTTTTTCCTCGGTGAAGAATTAATAGGCATCGGACGGATACACTCAATTTACACCGAAAACAATTTTCTTATAAATATTCCCTTCGGTGGTGGATAAAGTACCTCAGTTTCTGTAAGATGGTTAATTAAATATAAACAGTACCTCAGAGTATAGGATAATTGAATACGATGATGTTTTCTGCTATGTGGCATTCATCAATATACGCGTTTAACATAGCTTCTGGACAAACGNTTTTTTTTATTGACAGAAGGGAACAGTTTCACGAGACATCTTACTTTATAGGGTGGTCTGGTTTATGACGAATGCCACACCATACAACACAAAACGTCACAAAATTACGTTACAACATCGTTTGTATCACATTTGATTTTCCTATTATCTTTTGTTAATTGAAAGGCATCGTTAAAGTGACAGAAGGAACATTTATCTTTGTTACCTGCCAATGGGAAAGTCAGAAATAGAAAATTCTCATATTCACCAATCTTTCTACCGCATCCATCCGTAGTAATTCGATAATGTCATCGTATTGCCTTTCTTCAGCCAACATCATGGCGTCTTTGCCGTCCTGAAATGCGAGCAAACTTTACATTATAGGTTCTTTTGTAATTTATCATAACAGATCAAAACCCACCTGAGATTTAGAGTGCATTCCCATAGGTTTAGGGCGTATTCCCAGACATTTAGATCAATCTAGCCCCGTCGGGAGTCTCACTAGATTACTGTGAGATAATCCGGCTTAAATGTCCGTCCCGCCTACTACAAGCTGTAAGGGGGTAATTAACTTTTGTTCCCGCTCGGCTGACAGCTATTTAGCGTGAACCCCCAGGGAGTTAGGTCGATCTAGTTGGACCGATCTAATCTCTGGGAATGGGGTCTTAGATATATCCATCTAGATCGACCTTACTCCCTGGGGGTTCCTGGGGGTTCACGCTAAATTGATGTCAGCAGAGCGTGCACGGAAATTAATAACTCCCTTACAGCTTTTAGTAGACTGGACAGACGCTTAAGCCGGCTAAGCTGACAGTAATCTACTGAGACTCCCCACAGGGATAGATCGATCTTAAATCTGTGGGAATGGGGTCTTAGCCAACTACAAAGAAATACATTCCACTTGAGACCTGTATAAAATGAATACCCAATCATTGTAAACTCTAAAAAAAAAAGCTAATAAAAACAAATGTGAAGATGTGCAATGTTGACACGTTAATTTAAAAATCAGTATTTGAAATATGAATAAGAGTATGAATTGCGGTTTATTTTGTTGTCTAATTTTTTCAACCCTGAACTGAGACGGGAAATAAGCTTGTTTCCTGGGACTATACAACGTCTTTCTTTTATAAATAAAGAATGATATATCATATTTCACATTTACCAGGTCCTGGACCGTCTTGTCGGCTCCCACTGAGAGGAGATAAGCTACCAGCTCCTTCATGGCGCCACCCTCCCTAAGGTGTGCCATCTTGATACAGAGATTTAATGCCGAGTCACACTCCTGCAAGTTGAGACACAAAAGGAACACAATGACCTTTGTAAAAATTTTTTCTTTTTTGTAGAAATTTCAACCATTTTTCGTTGATCACCAAAATCTTTTGATTTTTTTTTCATAATATAGTATTATAATAAAGGGTGTGTGGTTTGTAAAGGAACAGGACTGCCAGCGCGAAGAGGTGAAGATTGCTAAATTTCAATCATAACGATAGAAAATAAGAAATTTAGGGGTTGAAAACGATTTTCACCTTTTACTCTATGTGTCTATTTTCTTTGCTCAGGCCCAATGGGTGAACAACGGATCCTGATTTTTTTTAATCACGCCTTAAAAACCACATATTATTGGGAAATGGTATCCAGTGAATTGTTTGTGATGCCAGTCCGATTAATATTCGGAATCATCTCGTATGTACACGATCCATGGATGGCCATTTCACTCACATAATCCAGGAGGTTGACCTCTGCCCCTGTCTCCACCAACAACTCCAGCATCTTCATTTGGTCCAATTTACAATGGGTAATGACGTAATGTATTGCACCGGCGCCGTGCTGTATTAAATAGATCGATATATTTTACAGATGCGAAATTTTAATATTCAGGTGAAATATATAGTTAGTCTACCCCCCTCCCCACCCCCCACCCACCCAATCCCTGGAAAACTTGTTGCTTGTTGGATAGGATTTAAGTCCGCTATTTTGTTTTTCCCCACCCATCACCTCTGACCTCATAGATACGATTATGAATTTTATTGATACGACCATGTTCAAATCCTCCATTCCACCGCTCAATTGACAGTTAAATCAACAACAACATATACCTTGTTGATGTAATTCAAATAAGTTCCTCCATGTGCCACAGCTCTTCGTATTTCTTCCTCCGTGCCAGAAATCACGGCTCTTACCAAGCGTTCCTGAAATGCAGTATTAATTAACGGATTGTTCATTTTTTTACAACAAGGATTTCATTCAACTACAAGTTGTGTCATTTAGCGCTTGATAGGGGGTGGGGGGGGGGTGGGGGTTGGAGCGGGGATGGAAGGACAAATCAAAATTCACCCCGCCCCCCCTTTCCCAATACGCAAACTACTCACATGTACTAAATATGGTCGTATTCATGGGCTTATCAAAAATAATTTATCATTGCCGTTTTATGACCACATACAGTGTGACATGGGTGATATGAAAAAGCAATTAATGAATCGTCAAAAAAGACAAACTTTGGTTCACAACGACGTTTCCTCCATCTCTTTAATGTCTCTTACGTTATTCGCTAAATTGATCTTTGAGATGATGTTTCCTGTTAGTCAGAGACACCATAGTGAAAGTATATATGAAGCAGTGCATTAGGGAAACCCTGGTTCCCACAGGTTCCTGGAACATTGCACCCATACTAGCAGCATGACTCTGCCGTTTCCAGTAAGGGCTGGTGCGTGCTGATAATGCATGTAGTCTAGGGACCTCTGAATCTCAGGTTGATAGGCCGCAAATAAGCAGAAACCCGTTTGAAATATGTTCTGTTGGGTGTTTATGATACAGAATTAATTCTGTGGTGAAAACCACACGCAAGATGACAGCTACACGTGTGGAAATTCTTCACGAGGCTTACAATGCGCGTTCGACCTAATGCAACAAAGTTTCTGCCCCCCCCCCCCCCTTCACCATCAAGATATTTATGCATGTATCGTATCCAAAACCTATAAACTCTCAACTTCTAATTTTTACCGGTACGGTCACGAGCGAATTTCACCAGTCTTCATTAATTTACATGTACATCACGATAGTGACTAAAAAAAGGAAGCTTAGACCTAAAAAATGAGTTTATTGATCGCAATTCTGTGAATGGTTTTAAGTATACTATACCTTGGTGAATAAGGGAAATGTGATGATATGATATGATATGTCCAGGAAAAAAGGATATTTACTATCAATAGGTATTTCGTTCATCGTGCACTTTATACAGAAAATGAAGGAAGCCTTCATCCTATGCTCAGTTATTTCAAATAAGGTTTGGCTTCATTGGAGCCAATACAGTGGGTATTGAAAGGAAGTGGGTATTGACATCAAGACTACTCTCCATCGTGTGTCATGTGTGATATTGCATTTCCATGTTTATGGGGACGAGGAAGGTGATTGGGGCTTACTCATAGATTGAGTTAATTCAAGTGAAAAATAATATTAATATTGTTATTAATACATCATAAGGAATGCTACAACTTCCTTTTAAATACATGTATCTACACTAGGATGCGACATAAGGTTATATTTAATCCTATATCTACACAAGTGTGGATGCAGCTTAATAAAAAAAGTCTCATTTCAAATTTCAAGCCCAAATAGATAAAACAAAGAAAGAAAAAACACTCAATACTAAATCTCACCCCTAATTCATCACGGCGTTTCTGTTCAGTCTTCTCTATGGCTTCGCCGATGGAGACAGTCCCGTCCAACACAGCACAAATATCCACAAGTCCCTTTTCCACGGCTTCGTCGTAGGGGGACCGTAGTTTCTAGAATAAACAGAAGTTAAAACCGGGTAAACACACAATTACACACTAGAGACTCATTGTCAATATCAGATTAATAGCTAATGGTGGCACAAGAGGACTCAAAATATTCTAAGATCGCATTCACAACGAGTTGAGCCATGGCTTTACAAATCCTGGAATTAAATATGGCGGACGTACATGAAAGAAAAACCGCCTAATATTTCAATAGTCTCTCCGCCTCTCACACGCCTCCCCATGCGTCGTCCCTGCGGGGGTAAGGTCATTAAATTTCGGCTCCATTGTTTTAACTTATCATGAAGATGACAATAAAGTAGTTTTAAAGTTAGTACTATATGTGGTATACACCCATCATTCGGATGTGGAGATGCTGCTGCTGCTTATAATAATAATAATAATAATAATAATAATAATAATTATTATTATTATTACTATTATTATTATTATAGGATTAGTACACAACCTAGCCATTTTCAATCGATACCTTGTTTCGTATTTCAGGATCTGCGCCCGAGCTGAGCAGTTTGACAAAGATATCAACCGCTCGATCTTTTGATTTATTTCTCGCCGCTAAATGCAGACAGGTGTCGCCCCCTATAGTCGTTGTTTGATTAACGTCTGCGCCGCTCTCCAGCAGGATGTCTATACAGGTTTCCACGTCAATGGCACTCCCTTGAACAAGGTCGTGAAGGGGTGCCAGCCCTGACTGAAAATGAATATTAAATGGAAGATCTCTTAGCTGAATAACATATTTACACCATGAAGCAAAGGACGTTAATTTTCAAGTGAAGCTGATATTTTATGCTCACCCCGGGTCTTTTTAATGCAGCATCATTAACGGCATTCTTCTCTTCTGCCATATTACATACTAAGTAACACGCCATTGGCAAATTCAGCATTTTGCCTGGGGGAGTAATGCAGAACACGGGGCGGGGGGGGGGGGGGGGTAGGGGGAGTGGAGTAATGAACGATACGAAAATTTCCCCAGCAAATGTAAAACATTAGAAGAGAACTGTTTTACATAATATTTTATATACAGACTTGACATTTAATATGGAATATTTTAGTTTCGAAGGTGTGCCTAGGTAGAAATGCGTTCTTTTTTCAAAAAACTAAGATCTCATATAAGATATGTGAATGGAGAAGTGTGTAGTCAGGTGTGTCGCTTCCAATTAACTGAATACCAGGTTTGTTACGCTGCTGCATTATGTAAT